CTGAAAATCTGACTTTTTGCCTGTGGACAGCAAAACTTCGATTGGACATATCTCACTCATTTCAAGTCAGAAGTTGATCAAATTTTCAGTGTGAGCTCATCAATGCTCACAGTTGCCACTGGCATGCCAAAACTTTGGGATCAAGCGCATCGAATATCAGAAGGTTTCTAGAGATATTCTGAAAAACCCCAACGTTAAAAACTTATAGTTTATAAATTTTTATCCCTAATTCATATTTTCTAGCTTATTTTGACTGTGTGTCGACAATTTGATCGACTTCTAACTTGAAATGAGTGAGATATGTCCAATCGAAGTTTTGCTGTCCACAGGCAAAAAGTCAGATTTTCAGAAAAACGACTCTGGCGACTTTTGTTCAACTTTTAGGAGAAAACAAACATTGCCACGATGCTCAGCGCACTCGATTACCTATGTTTCGAGCCTTTCCGAGATTCCCGAACGTGTCCAGACCGAGATAGTATGGTCTTCGAAAAACCTATCTAGCTCCCGAACCTTGAAAGGTGGAGTCCTGGGACTGGTCTAGAATTGAAGATCTCAAGCTGGCCTATCTATTTAACGTCTTGGAATCGAAACTTCGAAACTTTTCAATAGTGAGCAACCTTCTGCAAAATGTCCAGGCGTGGTATGCCACCTAAAGATGTCGCATTTTCCATTCTTTTTGCGTAGATTCAAAGTCCTATCAATCCATTTTCATAAACTGAAAACCGCAGGTCTCTATCGTTTTTCGTTAAAAAGTTATTGCAAAAACAACCGACTCCAGTATTCATTGAAAACGATAGTAGTAACTATACCTTCCACGAGTAAAATGGAAACAAGTCTAAAAGTGTTTTCTAAAAATTATTTTTTCTTCGTATAGAGTAACATGCAATCATTATGGCCAAATCATCAAAATTTCATGGTATTTCTGCCATAGTTTGCTCAATGTTGACCGAAAAAAAGCGGTATTTAACGATTAGGTAGATGTGAGTGCCTCCTATCAAACGGTCTAAAGTATTTCAGAAACTCATCAGCGTTGATGAATGCTAATGAATTTCCTGCGAGCACTTTTCGATTGACCATACTTTCCCCATGTCGTTGTATATAAGTATTCTGTTTTGTACCGTCTCCGATCAGATTTTTCTAGTTGCTACTCCAAATCTCCTGATTTTTAGCCTTTTCTCCTGATAAAAATTCTCCTGATTTTCAATCCTTTTCCTGCCTTGATTGTACAGATTTTTATAATTATCTCTTAGATATCAAGAACTGTTACAAGAAATTCATTCATCAGAAAAATACGGTCATGTTGTAAAAATACCACGAACGGTGTAGCAAACAGTTTGTTCTCCATATTGCTTTGTTTTGGTATGCTGTAAACAGTTGAACAGGGAAACCAGTAGAGGAAAAGTTAAGATTCATCAGTAACTGAAACAGTGAATATTATCATCTGCTTTATTGCATATCCTTTTATGCTCTTTATATGCAGAACAACTGAGAGGAACAGAAAAGTACATTCTTTGTCCTTTTCTCTAACTATGCTTTATGTACGAGTATACTATGAAGCACTGAAGGCTCCCCCCTGGTCAGAAATGCTGATTTTCGTCAAAAAATATCAATTTTGACAAAAGCACATGTTTGGAGAGCCCAAAGTGTCTACTTTCTAATGGTATAATTTTAGTGTCGATAGGATAGGTTTTTCACAGGTTCAGACCGAATTTTTCAGAACCTCTATAGCACAAAAAATGGCTTTTTTGCACTATTATTGCATAAGCACACGCATCTGCCGCACACATGTTCATTAGATCCGCCATGATCGATAACTTATAGCAAAGTATCAACAAATTATTTAACGCTCAAACAGTTTTTGAGTAAAACGCATTTAACAGAATTAAAAGTTATTTTGCGTTTTTTTCAAGACTGTTTTTTAGCTTCAAGGCTTTCGCCACGCACGGGAATTCTCGGTAACGATACATGGAAGGAAGAAAATTTTTTTGTTTAATTTGTAGATAACACCTATAGCTTGGACTTGACAGAGTCCGATTTTTAAATTATGCTTCCATTTTTTATAGAAATGAAGATTTCTAAGAAACCGTCTATGAATTTTTAGAGCTTTAAAGTTTTGTTAAGCACCAGTAATCAGTAGATGAGAAATTCAAATTCAAAAATCGTGCTCTGTCAACTTCTAGTCATAGGTATTTACTGCAAAACAAAAACAGCCAGAACTCTCTATCATTTATCTGGGATGAGAATTCTTGCCCATGGTAGATGCCTATTTTTGGCCCTTGTTGTGGCGCCCTCCCACGAACAGTGGCAAGTAACGCCAAAAAAAATTTCGTTATCACACTTTGACATGGTCAACATTCCTCGAAAGTTTGGTTCGCATCAGACCTACCTGGGCTGAGATAGGATTCTGACCCGGAGAAGGGGGAAGCTTAAAGACACGATTGTTACCGGAAAACTCGAATTTCTTTGCAGACTGGTATCAAACTCTTTTCGCTTTGAAGTTGCAGGATGGACTTTTAGAGACTTGGTTTCTACGATATAAGACTTCAGAGATCTAAGAAAAAACCATCTGTAGATGAATGTCTTTCATGAAAAAATCGACTTGAGAATGTGTCCTCGTCAGTATCTTTCGCACAACGTTTTCAATTTTAGAATTATTCATCCACTAGTTTCATTCATTTACAAAAATATTTAGATTATTTTTCAAGTGAACCCTCTATGTTCCAGCAAATATTTACTATTTTTTTCTCGTTCTTACATAGGTGGTAATGTTACGATAAGATATTGATAATATCACTACATATATACAAAAGAAAAATTGCCATTGAAAATCCAAGCAAGCTTTCACAAAGTATCTCACAAGATATTTTTGTATTCTTTTAGATCTTATTGATTGGCGAGTCCATATTTTACCGCAATTCTCATTCGTCAATTCGCCCAGACATAGTTTACAGTCAAAAGTGACTATCCGGAACAAGATAAAATATTCTATTGTTTCGACCATGAGAAAGAGTGAACAAATAGAATTCAGCAGTAATATCAATGAATCGCGCTCAAATAAAAGATGAGAAAATAGAAGAACTTGAATCGTAGATTCTAAATCAAAAAAATAGCATAAAGAAAAGCATCCAACTTTGGTATCACTCATGGATGAAAAGATGATGATGATAATATAGTAACAAAGCAGCAACATTTAATCATCAATAGTCACCTTCTAATGAAATGTAAATTGACCCATGTTTTTCGCGATACGCAATAATGTTGCCAAATCTTTAATAAAAAAATATGAATGTGTGTGAAATAATTACGACATGCTAATTTGTGTGTATGAAAACAGATAATTGAACAGTTTCTATTGGATTAAAATAAGATTCGATGTTAAGTACTTGAGTTCTGATCAGACAAAATCTGGTAATGGAGATAAATTAGGCAGAATTTCTTAAGCATCTATGCGAACTTTTAGAAACAATGTATTATTCTTAACAAGTTCTCCATTTTTGCCACTGGACTCGTCCTGAGTTATTGTTGTACTCAAGCTGAATTATGAATCGACTAAATGATACACTGTACAATGTCTCTAGGGAGTTGAGAAAAAAAGGAAACAAAAGAATCGAAAAGAAGAAGTAAATTAAACTTATCTCTTTTTTTTCAGACTACTTATTTTTGTCATTTTTTTCTATTTGTAATACTGATGTTTGCTACAATTCGAAAGAAATTATTTATATAATAACAACATTTTAGCGATGACAGAATATAAACTTGTTGTTGTGGGAGGTATGTAAATTGTTTTTCGTATTATTTTTTTAAAAGTTGTTTCTTTAATATTGCTTCTGTTTTCTAGCTGGTGGCGTGGGTAAAAGTGCATTGACAATCCAATTAATACAAAATCAGTAGGAAATCTAATATTTTAAAAATATAAGTTTAATGCTTTATTTCTCAATTTATATTTCAGTTTTATAGACGAATATGACCCCACAATTGGTAAGTCTGCATTTATTGTTGCGAAAGACAAATAAAAATTAAAAAATTCAACCCAGCGACAAATTCTTAAAAGTAAAACTGTCCAATCTTATTCGTTGATATGATTTTTTTAGGGCTTTTTTTTCTATGTATGCCAGTCTTACATCACAGTATATCATTTCATCTTCAAGGCATAATTAAAAGTATTCGAATATGTGTCAGACTTTCTAGAATCAGTTTCATTATTTTTACAGTTCACTCAAATGATGACTAATGACATTTTTTTGTGTGTTTTTAGAAGACTCTTATCGTAAACAAGCTGTGGTTGATGGAGAAACATGTTTATTAGACATCTTGGTGAGTAAACAGGTGTACTCTAAAGTTGTACAAGTTTTTTTCAACTTTTCCTTTCTTTTTAATTTAAAGGATACAGCTGGTCAAGAAGAGTATAGGTAAATATTGTATTAAAAAAATATACGATATATTTCTTCGTTTTTTTTTCCTTTGTTCAGTGCAATGCGCGATCAGTATATGAGAGGCGGCGAAGGTTTTTTGTGTGTATTTGCTGTTAATAATTCAAAATCATTTGAAGAAATTAAACAATATAGAGAACAGGTAACGCGATATTTTATTCAGTGCTTAAAAAATCATCACTCTTGTTCAATGATGTTCCATTTTTTAAGATAAAAAGAGTAAAAGATGCTGATGATATCCCGATGGTGTGTAAGTATCTTTATTCCCCCTTATCTATTCTATGCAATAACTATTTATTGATTTATTTTTCTCGTTCTAGTGGTTGGAAATAAAATTGATTTACCTACTCGTACAGTTGATATGTCAAATGCAAAAGATTTTGCTTTAGCATTAAATATGCCATTTGTGCAAACATCAGCCAAAACTCGTCAAGGAGTTGAAGATGCCTTTTATACACTTGTACGAGAAATTAGAAAACATGTACGTACACGTATTGATTCTATCGTTACTCCTCATATAGTAGAGCAGTTAAACAGTTTGATCCTGTTCGTCATAGTATATCAAATTAATTTACAATTAGTACAATTATTGCATTGTATAGCAATTAGATCTAGAAATTAATATGTGTATTGTTTGTTTTCTATTTTTAGAAAGAACGTACTCGAAAAGATAAAAAGAATCGTGCAAAAGGCAAGAAAACTGGAAATAAACAAAATAGAAAACGGTCGTGTGTATTGATGTGAAAAGATGATGATAATATCGCACATATTTCTAAGATCGTGTATGTATATGCAAACATCGAATCTTTCATATTTTAAGGCATTGTTTATTTTTCTTTTGCGTGTATTTCGAATCTCTCTCATTTTCTGTGTACACCGAGTGTTCAACGCAATAAGCATAAATTTCTTCTCTCTCTCCCTCTCCCCTCTCTCTCTCTCTTACTTTCTTTTATCTTTCAATGTCAGATAATAATATTAAGTTATAAATACACTAGCAGCATAGGGCATAGCCAGAAATTTTCAGGAGGGAGACCAGAAGCCAAAAAACGTTTTTATCGAATCCTTCTTTTAACTTAAGGAAAAACCTGGGGTTCTGTACTCCGCTCTAAAATAGTACCTGACTAGTCTCTCTTTCTTTTCACTTTATTTTTCGTGCAAAATATACATCGTCATCATCAAACTAGTCATCCGTCATATTGCAAAAATAAAATCTCGCTTGGATACTTGCTTGCTTTCGTTGCTCTTCACATATCAATACTGATCTCTTGCAAGCAGCAGCAGATATACACAAAACAAAATATATTTATGAGCATGACGTTCTTTTTCTCATTTTGTACGCTTTGTATCAATATATCTTATTGCGTGTAATAGTTGTTTTGTGTTTTTTGTATGCACCATCTCTAATTTTTTTTTTCATGTCAACAGTGTGCTCCTTTCGTTTCATTTCAAAGTAGGAAAATACAGAGTATTCCCTATCCTTTGATCATGAAATTGTGCATCCTTAAGACGAGTTTTTTCGTTTTAAAGAATTACTACAACAGGTGTTGACATTTTTTTCCTCGTCAATTTAATATTTATTGAAAAAGTCTTTTTTAAAATACAGAAATGTAACTGTGAGCTCATTTTCTTTTTTTTTGTTAGTTATTACAGGTAGTTTGTCAGAAATAGTATATTTTCTTGATTTGGGCAAAATATATCAGTTATTTTTATCATATATCATAGAAATGTTATGTATTGAAAAAGAATTAGAATAATAGATATGAAGTATAATCTTGTATAAGAAGAGCTCATTTTTCTATGATTTGAATAGTGTATATTGAAAATATCGATTGATCCTTTGAGGCTATATATCTTCTCACTCTACCCATTAATTGTTTTTTTTTCTGACAAAAAATGGCAATCGTAGTCTGGATATAATCTTGATATTCTTCTATTATATTTATTAATGCATATTAGTCAATTAATCGGTTTTTAATGTCATAAATTATTTACTAAAAGTATTATTTCTCTTTTGGTTGTTGTTCTTCGTTTCTATGTGATACAGCGTTTGTTGTGTTTTTTTTCTTCTGATGATGCTTTAATTTTTCTTCATTTTATTGGTTGATTGTTTTTTTATAATAAAAATACGATTACGACATCTTATTGTTTCTCATACTTTAAACAATCGACGGCCGATTTATTCGCGTAATCCGTGCAGAGACAGACACTCTGACAACGGTACCGAACATGGTTTCTCGATGATTATAAATATTTGAGAAAAAAAAACGATCCCAACATTTGCGAGAAGATTGAAAATCAAAAGGTGAAATTAATATGAGATCAAAAGTCGCTTTATCTTTAGTTAAAACAAAATGCTACAATCAAATTTCTGAACAATTACCCGAAAGTTCAGGCGCCCGTCGGAGATAGAGATGAAGTGTCAACGAAATTTTGGCTTAAAAGATAATCCGAATTAGGATTTTTTCTGTTCATCGACGCACGATACTGTAAAATTAAAAGTATACCGATTTTCTTTATTTAGTGGAAACACTGTCTGTCAGCATGTTAAAGAAAAGTAACTCACTACAGCATGAAGTTACCTAACTTCTGATCTACAAGTAAAAAACACATTGATTGATCGGACGTTTTTGATGGAAACAATAAAGAAACATTATTTCATTATATGAAGAGTTGACTGATGCCGCTGTGAAGATCTCGATTAGATAATTATGAACAACACAAGATTTTTAGAAAAAACTTTTGTGTTAGAAAAATTTTCATAGAAAATAAATATTTATGTAATAAGCCGGAGGTTCATGATAATTATTTCCTATTTGCAAAATAATAAATGAAAATAATCTGTACGAGCTAATCAAACAGAAGAGTGCACAAAAGGAAGTAGTACTCGAGAGTGAGATCAGTCAGATGTTTTTTTAAATTATATTGTGTTTTGCATATTAACTTAAGTACTTTGTGTTTTTAATGTTTTGTTTTTTTCATTGACAAGGAAACTGTTTTCATTGATACAGTTATGAAATTTTCAAAATATATAAATGAATCTAACATCAGTCTCCCAATAAAACACCCGCGAAGACTACTATCCATCCCAAAATACCGGCGGGCATTTGGGCATTTTTTGGGCCGGTGGGCATTTTTTGAATAACTTTTGATAGGAATGAGATAGAGACCTGCGATTTTCGCTGTTCAATAGCCAAGACTTGAGCAGAACTTTTCACAAGCGGAAGCAACTTTTGAAAAAATTCCAGAGGATCTTTGGAAAACCAGCTCCGTTCTCAGAAAACACATCTCTGGGAATCTCAAAATGCCATGGACTATAG